CAAACACTTCAAATAAAAATAGCGCGCCACTTAGAAAAATTAATCATCACAAAAAATAAACATGCAACTATACTAGTATGGAATGACATACCTCCTTACCACGGTTTTCCAAATTGTAATAAACTAGTCAATTTTATTTCCTACACTCATAATCTCAAAGCCTAGGCTTTGATACCAAACTGTAACCATGCTTCATATATCCCAAAGGTTGGTACCGCTTTGGTACCATCTTGTAACACCCCATTTTCCAAAACCAAAGACATCGACTAAAAAGGTAATTTATTTTTAGATTCGAAAATTCAATACAGTTGTAGAAACAAAAATAATTAATGATCCATCTAACTAACTAACTAATAAATAATGAACAGATACTACAATGTAATAGGGCTAGTAACATTCAAAAAAAAAAAAAAAACTAACTAATAAATAATGAAATACTACGTTTAGTAACAATGTCGTACATGTATCTCAGTACATAGTGTCCATACTCAACGTTTACCGATTGTTGTGGACACTATAAAATACATACATATATTAATTTAGGTTAATATCATTTTAAAATTTTAATTTTAATTTAATACTTTGCATTCCTTCCAATCAATAGTTCTAGTTGCTTGTCCATTTATAGGAAGAGATCAATGTGTCCTATACTAATAATAATAAACATATATAACAATTTAAAAATAACATAATAAAATTTAAAATACTTGTATTAATAATAAGGTTTTTACTTAAGTATTAACTAAAGCATTGACATCAATGGTGCGCTTACATTTCAAGTGATTTAATACATACACGTTTCATGAACGTGTCCAGATCACGATAAGTAACCAATGATTACTACATTTATAAAACATACATATATAAAAATTATAATACCAAACACTTCAAATAATTGAAGCATGTGCTCCATCTCAACTAAAAGCCTAAGCTAATAGTTGGACTGCACATTAATGGTTATATTGTAACACCCCCGATTTTCACAACTTTTTAAAACTTAAGAGCATAAAGCAAGGTAACTAACAGGTAGCATCAAACTTAAACAACATCGGAAGACTTTAATTAAAAACAGGAAAAATGGGAAGTGTTATGCCACATCCACATCAAAGCGAATGCACAGACTAGTCTAAACAAACGTACTAAATTTGTTCATAACCATCCAAGGCTCACAGGCACAAAACTCTAACTAAACAGTCCAAGGGAGCTACACTAACAAACAGACAGCTAGCGCGCTCTCCAAAAGCTACTCAAGACCTGTAACGCAACATAAAGAAAGGGGACGACGCCCGGTCAGCGAATATTACTGGTAACCCATCAATACGCGTTAAATAGCATATATAGATAGTATAAATCAAATCCATTTCGAAACGGGATACAGTATATATCAGTTCAAACATCATAGAGAGAAATCAATTGCAAGGACTCTTTCACACTCTCAAAGGAAGAAGGGAAGTCAACATCCTATAACAACAACAAGACAAGAACAACCACAATAGACAAATACAACTCGAGGTGTATTCTACTGATCACAAAGTAGAGTACCACTCAACATACTCATTAGCAAAGAATAGACATTCACACATTGGCAACTACATGCCACAGTGACACTACATGTCACAAGTTCCAACCTTATGCCCTGTTCCAACCTTATGGCTACCACCGACCTTATTACAGTTCCAACCATTGCCTCCGAGAACCCCTATACTCCTGAGTCCAACCTTATGCCTCCGAGGACCGTCGTCCCCACTCCAACAATCTCCAACAAGGTCTCCGACATATGAGTTCACGAGGGTACCATTCATTTCATTCACACACAAGTGAGCCTATGCTCAGATTACACCACCAATTTCATTCATGGCCACCACAAGGACCACATCTGTACCTTGGAGATTAAGGTCCCATACCCTTAACCGTGCAATCAAGGTACAACAAATACACACCTTTTCATCACAGGAATCGATCAATGGATCACAAAGTTGGACACTTATCACGATTCTAGACACCAACAATGTGACAAGAGAAAACAAGATCATCTTTTGACCAAACTTCAAGAATTCAAAAAGGTATAGGATTGTCAAGAAGTCATGGCATTGCAAGGTTGAAAGAAATCACCAAAGAAATTCCTTGAGCAAACAAACACTATAGCCAAGACACAAACATAAGCCTACCCCTGCCCCAGTATTAAACAACAAGAAAGGTAACACGAGGTACCTGAGGTGAACAACTCCCTGTAACGCTCTCTCATAGCCGACTCCAACTCCCACGTTGCTTCTTCTGCACCATGTTGTGACCACCATACTTTTACCATCTTCACCGATTTCCTGCGGGTTTCACAAAGTTGGACACTTAGCACGATTCAAGACCACAAATCCTACATGGATTCCTAACATACCGCTCTAGACATACGAAACATCAAGAAGACACTCAAAAAGCCCAATAAAACAACATCGGGAGGTCAAAACATCAATTAATGAGTCAAAAGAATCACGGGAAACAAATCCCCGACCAACCACAATAAAGTACCTCGCGGGTGGGTCCACGGGTGGACCTCCACCCGTGGTTCCGCCCGTGGGTGCCATCACCCATAAGGCCTGTACCCCCGCGGGTGGGGCGGCGGGTAGGCCACTGCTTGCCGTTCCGCCCGCGGGTACACTCCTATACCACAAAATAATCCCTTCGGGGATTTTCAACAACGAGTCCAAATTCAAGTCCAAAACACCTAAAATCTCACACAATACAACAATATGACTTGAACCCAAGAAATAGCCAAGCAATGGCATACAAGAACCCTAATAACAAGCTCTAGACATGCATTACCACAATACAATGCATCAAAACTCACATTTCACCAGAAAAATCACAAGTAGATGCCAAGAAATAATCATATAGGTAAGAAAATTTGTAGAGCATGGGTTACCTTTGTAGCCTAACACTTCACTTTTCTCACCCTTAAAAGCTTCTCCTAAAGCTATTCTTCAACTCCAACTTCATAAACACACCACAAGACAACAAAGATTCTTTTTTTTTTTAGAAAAAGACATCTACAAAGATACTAAAAACACCAAGAGATCAAGGATCTTACCCTCCCATATGCTCAAGGTTAGGATAGTATGAATCTTGGAAGCCAACTTGTAGAATCTAAGATGCCCAAAATTTGGCTTGGAGAAGAAGCTATCAAATTTCTAGAGAGAAGGTAGATGTTTTGTGTTTAGAGTGTTGGTGGATGGAATGAAAGGATGATGCTAGGTTAGCTTGAGGCACAAACATTAGGTAGAAAGACTTCTTTTCCCTTACTAAAGTTTGGAAGAATAAGGAGACAAGGGAACAACTCATAAGGCATAGAGTACAACTCTTTGACTTGGATTGACTAGTCAATTTCTAGTCTTTCGACTATTAAATTTTCAGGATTTTAGGAATAAATTACCAAATAAGCTAGGATTAATTATCTAATTAATCCTTAAATAGATTTTGGGATTTTGGATTTACGGGGTGTCACATATATGCTGAACACGTGTGCAGTGGGTTCCAAGTCGCTTATCGGGTGATGTAGAGATTCGAAGCCAGACCAAATATAGAGACGTAGAGATTCGAAGCCAGACCAAATGTAGAGATTCGAACTCATGACCTATGCTCAACACGACATGCTCCATGACCAAATGAGACGTAGAGATTCGAAGCCAGACCAAATCTGGCTCTGATACCAAATTGATAGTGGGACTGCACATTAATGGTTATATGCTCAACACGACATGCTCCATCTCAACTAAAAGCTTAAGCTTATAGTAACACGTGGACCGTAATCACTTATGGGTGGCGTTAAGATTCGAACCCATGACCTTTGGTTTGGCTTTGATACCGAATTGAAACATGTGCTCCATCTCAACTAAAAGCCTAAGCTAATAGTTGGACTGCACATTAATGGTTATATGCTCAACACAAATAAACATATAGCGCCACTTAGAGGCATTAACCATCACAAAAAATAAACATGCACTACAAGAAAAATGCACATAGACAACGGTTAATAACCGTTGTCGTAGGGGTATAATTTCTGTTGTTGAAGCCGGTGTTGTTGTAAGTCCCGCACATAGGCAACGGTTTTTTAACCGTTGTCTTTTCTAGAAACAACAACGGTTTTTAACCGTTGTCTATTAAGTGTTGTTGAAGCCGGTGTTGTTGTAAGTCACGCACATAGACAATGGTTAATAACCGTTGTCTTTTCTAGAAACGACAACGGTTTTTTAACTGTTGTCTATTAAGTGTTGTTGAAATCGGTGTTGTTAAAAGTCACGCACATAGACAACGGTTTTAAACCGTTGTCTTTTCTAGAAACGACAACGGTTTTTTAACCGTTGTTTATTAAGTGTTGCTGAAACCGGTGTTGTTAAAAGTCACGCACATAGACAACGGTTTTTAACCGTTGTCTTTTCTATAAACTACAACGGTGTTTTAACCGTTGTCTATTAAGTGTTGTTGAAACCGGTGTTGTTAAAAGTCACGCACATAGACAACGGTTTTTAACCGTTGTCTTTTCTATAAATGACAACGGTGTTTTAACCATTGTCTATTAAGTGTTGTTGAAACCGGTGTTGTTAAAAGTCACGAACATAGACAACGGTTTTAAACCCTTGTTGTTTCTTTCAAAGACAACGGTTTTTGACCCGTTGTTTATTCAATGTTGTTAAAATCGGTGTTGTTAAAAGTGATGCACATAGACAACAATTTTTAACTGTTGTCTCTTTTTTAAAAGACAACAGTTATAAACTATTGTCTATTGTGTGTTGTTGAAACCGTTGTTGTCACGCCCATAAACTGTTGTTTTTGTAAAAAATACAACAGTTTCAAATTGTTGTCTATTGTAAAATAGACAACGGTTTTTAAACGTTGTCTCAACGGTTTTTAACCTGCTTAAATTTTAATCATATAAAAAATCAATTTATCCATTCACCATGGCTAAGTGTAGTTGCATAATTTTGCACAAGCTAAGGTTCAAAATACAAAAAAATTAATTAACAAGTCTAAATACTTCCATGACCAATTCAAATCGAATCGTATATCATCCAAGTCATAATACTACAAAAAACAATTCCACGAACCAAATCTAAATGATCACAACGTTCTAATGATCAAATCATACCTACTCCCTATTGATGCATTAAAAATGGATGCAATGCAGCAATTTGACCTGGTGGAATGAAGGTTGCCATCCCAAGTAAAGATGAAGGAGCAAGTGAAACGCCATGGAGATCACTCTAGCATTTAAAAGAAAAGATATAGTTATGCAAGCACTTTCAAGTAAAATATACACACCATGCCCACTAAATTTTTATAATAAACTTGCACATTTTTCCCTCAAATGCTTTCAATAATTTTAAGTGTTAAATTTTCAAGTGAAAATTAATAAAATATATGGTAATAAGCAATTTATAAACAATAATCTTATAAGTAAAACACTTCTCGTATTACCCATTAAAATAAATTATTAAAGGGAATTGTAGAAATAGTTGGGAAATACGTACCAAAGCGTCCCTTGTAGATATATTTGTCTCTGGTGTTCCATAGTTGCACTTCTGGTACCTCTCTAATGTCTTGATCATGCTGGAGAAATATGAGGTATTAATATATTTATATTTTTCACAAATCTTAAGGAAAAAAACAAAAAAGAAAAAACCAAATTCAATGAAATGCTTAAATACTACTCTGTATTTAGCTGGTAAATTTAGCTGTAACTATTACAATGCTCAACTATGTTGAAAGCTCATCTACTCTCAACATTCAGACTCTAATTCAATGAAATGCTTAAATACTACTCTGTATATAATATCAATACGCTACATATATATATATATATATATATATATATATATATATATATATATATATATTACTATTGAACTACAGATGAAGTCTGATTGCAGCAATGAAACCAGAATGTACAGGAAAAAGGTAATGCAGTAGTCATGTTATTAAGAGTTTATGTCTCTATGCTTTAAGGGAACAAAAGCATTAGAACATGCTTTCCCCCAAAAGCATTAGAACATGCTTTCACATCTTACTGACATGTCTACCAAACAACGAATGCCGGCCCTCAGCAATAAGTTCCCCAGTCAACTTGTTCCTCACCAGCACACTCGTTCCGGAGTACCCTCCTCTTTTACCTAAGCATCGTCCAACGATCTCCAATTCGTCCTGTCAGTAAGCCATAAGAAGAGGTAGACGTAAAATTAGTAATCCAACAAGTACGATTTACTTTCAAAACCAGCCCATGATGGAAAGCTAAACAGGTAAAACAACACTTAGTAATCAATCAAACAAAACCAGACCATGGTGGAAAGCTAAACAAGAAAAAGAGGAATTCAAACACATAAGCAAATGCCAGCTTTAAGTTCAAATTGTGAAGCCTAGGAAAGAACATTGTATCATAGAGTTTTCCCTTCCTAGTTCCAGGATCAATGTTGTTTCTGTTTATTTTCTTCTCCCCCCTCCCCCTCATCTTTTTTCTATCGCAACAGGGATGATTGCAGCTTTAACGATTCTAACACTACATTATCAGCCTTACTTAAGATGGAATGCATTTTATCCCTTTCTTTCATCTTAATTAGATAATAATAGTATTTTCCAGTGGCATTGCATCTCCAACAACAACATGATATGGCTTGAGAAAACCCCGATTCTCTTCTTTCTATAAAACTGAAGAGAATTCTACTTAGATTGCTTCTAAACCTTAATAAAAAAAAGTAAAAATACATTTTTCCAATTTGTAGCCTATAGACTATATATACACCGGGTGAAATGATGCAATTCCTGGGACTAAAATTCAGAAGTTGCAGTTCAAGTGTGAAATCAATCAGGAATGGGTCTTCAGATCAATGTGAAACACTTACCCAAAATCCAAATAGCTCAAAGTAACAAATTAAAGATGATAACATAATTATAGAGATAAAGGATGAAGAAATAAAGGTAAATCAGAAGAAATTCATAAACTGTTGAGAAAGGTAAGAGATTGACATGTCCACAGAAACATTCATGGGGAGACCCTCCACGTGTACAACCGCACCTCCCACTTCATCAACCAGGTTCGCAATCGCACCCGATGCTAATTTCCCTTCTCTGTCCTACAAAAATTGAATTAAAATTTAAATATTTCTCCAATTATCGACAACTCAGAAACATCAAAAACAAAGAAGAAATATTTGAAGAAAATGGAAGAGGATTGTTTTCACGGTGAGGCGATGAGGAACTCTGAAAGTGCAGGAAACGAAGCCGAGTTCGACTCCGTCAACTCGGATGCCTCTTATGGCGTAGTACTCGTAGAATAATAATAATAATAATCCACAACATAATATACACCGTATACAGGTCTTGTCTCATAAACTAACCTAATAATCCACAACTAACCTAGGGTTTAAGAACATTCATAGCTTTCAAATATGGAAATTCAACAATACAATTAAGAAATTAGGGATTAGGGTTTAAAAAAAAAAAAAAAATAGATGACTAGCCTGTAGCGACGCCGACGGCGGTGGCCGGCCGACGAGGGAGAAACAGCGTCGGTGTTTTTCGCTAGTGCGGTGATGGCCCCGGCGGTTACCACTTTGTTGGCGAGAGATTGAAGTCCGCCGACGATTACCACTGTGTTCTCGCCCTGTTTTTCGCTGTGTGTTTTGCATAGGGCCGCTACTGAGTTTTGTTTTTGCAAAGGACCGCCGTGTGAGTTTCAAGCTGTTTGCGAAGGAACTGAATCTTTTTTTCGCGCTAAGTGTTAGGAATTTTTATTTGGGAGGGAATTGAATTTTTTTCACTAAAAGTGTACTGTGTGAGTTTTTTTTTTTTGGGAGGGAAACAAAAAACTTAAAATGAAGGAAGATATATATAATAGTATTTTATCCGTATGACGCACGGTATGGAAAAATTTAAGTATAAATGTTATGGTCGCATATCAACCATTATTTTGACTATAAAAAGTTAATCAGTAATAATAGAAAAAAAAAAAACTAATCAAAATTAAAAATTATAAAAAATTTCTTTGTAAATTATTAAAAAACTAATCAAAATTACAAACTATTAAAAATGTAGTACGTATCTTATTTGTTTTGTTGATTCATAATTTATAAACTATATAGTTATCAACACTTGAGAATATGAACATTGCAAATTATAAACATAAAGTTCTGTAATTGTGAATATATATCAGAGTTATTCAATCATTATGAATATGCATTTCAATTCAAAAATTATGAATATATAGTTTGGTAATTATGAACATAGAGCTAATTAAGATCTCGGCAAAAGAAATGTGATATAGCTAAATGTACGGCATCGATCAACTACTCTTTCATATCCATTCTCAACGTTTCCCAGGCATGCCGGGAGGGTCGATTACCAACATATAGCTAACCTTGTTAGTCATGAGCTAGCCGGAAGGGTCGATTACCAACATAGCTAACCGTGTTAGTCATGCGCTAGCCGGAAGGGTCGATTACCAACATATAGCTAACCTTGTCAGTCATGCGCTAGCCGGAAGGGTCGATTACCAACATATAGCTAACCTTGTTAGTCATGCGCTAGCCGAAAGAGTCGATTACCAACCCCGGCCCCTATCATACCGCCCTTAACCCCTACACATCATACCGCACCATTATGAACACCACCCCATATTGTTTTTTATACTTGATAATTATTATTATTTTTTTGAATTCATAGATTGGTCTTAATTGTAATATAATTGAAAATAAAACTTTAATAAATTTACTTTGAAATTTTGGTGAATAATTTTATATTTAAATATGAACGAAAATAAAACTATTAAATTAACTTTTGAATTGTATTCTTTCTTTGTTAAAGTATACTAAAAGATAAGGTCTAACTCTTTAATATACAAGAGTTGGTGTGGCTGGGTGGATTTAGCTTTGTTTGTTATGTTAAAGGTTTTGGGTTCTATCCTCTGTGGTGGCATTCTTAACGTATTTTATATAATCATTGTCTTGGTTCTCAAAGACAACACATAAGCAAACTGGTAATATACTAAATATTGCGCTTAAATAAACAAGTGTTGGTGTGGTTTGGTGGGTTTAGCTTAGTTTATTATGTCAAAGGTCTTAGGTTCTATTCTTCTTGTGGGGAATTCTTTAACTATTTTCTAAATTTGTTGTCTTGGTTTTCACAAAGAACACAGAAGCAACCCAGTTATATACCAGATGTTGCACCTTTAAACATAAGAGTTTGTGTTGCTTAGTTGGTTATATTACTTTCTTGTTAAGTTTTAGGTCATAGGTTCAACTCTTGTTGTTAACATCCTAGTAAAAAATTATTTTATATTTTAAAATCGTTGTCTTTTAAAGACAACTTACCAAAGACAACGGTTAAATAAAACCGTTGTCTTAAACAAATAAAGAACGTGCAACGACAACGGTTATATAAAATCGTTGTCGTTTTAGTGTTGTGTATTCGAGTTCGCTTAACGACAACACACTAACGACAACAGTTAAATAAAACCGTTGTCTTTTTTTTTTTTTAAAGCGCACAAAGACAACGGTTTTTAACAACCGTTGTCTTTCTAGTGTTGTGTATTCCAGTGCGCTTAAAGACAACACACCAACGACAACAGTTAAAAAAACCGTTGTCTTATTTAAAAAAAAAACGCACATAGACAACGGTTTTAAAAAACCGTTGTCGTTGTGGTGTTGTCTTTTCACAAAATGCACAAAGGCAACACACTTATAACAACGGTTAAGTAAAAACCGTTGTCTTTGACAAAAGTGTTGCATCAAAGATAACGGTTTTGGACCAAACTGTTGTCTTTTATACAAAAGACATCACTTTTCTTAAAAACTGTTGTCTTTCTAGTGTTGTCTATGTGCATTTTTCTTGTAGTGATGCAACTATATATACCAGTATTGAATGACACACATTTTTCACCGCGGTTTTTTAAATTTTAATATCTTAGTCAATATTATTTCCTACACGATAATCTCGAAACCTAGGCCTTGATACCTCCTTCTAACCCTATTTCATATATCTAAAGGTTTGTGCCACTCCGATACCACTTTGTAACACCCTCATTTTCCATAACCAAAGACAACGAATAAAATGGCATTTTTTTAATTCAAAAATCCAAAACAGTTGCGAAAACGAAACTAACTAATAATACATCTAACTAACTAACTAATAAATAATGAACTACTATGTTTAGTAACAATGTCGTACGTGTATCTCAATTCATAGTATCTGCATTCAACGTTTCCGATTGTTGTGGACACTACAAAGTACATACATATATTAAATTAGTTTAATATCATATTAAAACTTTAGTTTTAATTTCATAGTTTACATTCCTTCCAATCAACCATTCTAGTTCCTGATCAGAATTCCCTATATTAATAATAAACATATATAACAATTTAAAAATAACATAATAAAATTTAAAATACTTATATTAATAATAAGGTTTTTACTTAAATATCCACAAAAACATTATCAACAAAGGTGCACTTACATTTCGAGGGATCTAATATATACACGGTTCATCAACGTGTGCAGATCATGATATGTAACCAATGATTACTATATTTACAAAACATACATATATTAAAATTCTAATATCAAACACTTCAAATAAACATATATTTTAATTTAGTAATTAATGCTTAACTAATGAAATATTTAACGGTGTAAAGATAATTTGGTCAAAACAATGAATTATAATAATTTTAATGTAATATATAACTTTACAACAAGAATAAAAAATATACAAACGTATATAATTCTGAGATATCACATGCATTCGCTCTTATAAGTTAGTTAGACATCACATGTCTCTATATATTTTTTAAAATTCTATTAATTGGACAATAAAATAGTCAATAGCCTATATATTTATGTAATTAAACAAACACTAATAATTCAAATACTCAATTCAAATTTAAAAACAATAACTTATCCAAATAATTCAAACCAAAATTAACACAAAGTCTAATAATAATCTCAAACACACTTAAGATAAAGTTTTAAAAATTAAAGTAAATCACTACTAGAAATTATGAAATTTCCGACCACCTGAAAGTGATCTTAAATAAAGTTGATACTAAAAAGTGGTCGGAAATAGCAACAAAGGTTTTTCCGGATACCAAAAGTGGTCGGAACAAGGCTTTCGACTTGATTTAAGATCATTTTCAGGTGGTCGGAAATTTCATAATTTCCAGTAGTGAATCAAGCATTACATCATATTCATATTCTTATCATATTATGGAATTTAGGATTTAGTCATTTAGGAAAATTAGAAATACGATTAATTAATATTAATATTTGGAACTTTTTTAAATAGACTGCTAGATTACGCCCTCAACAAGCTAGGCTCTGCAAATTATAGTTGTGTGGACCATAGTCCAAAACAACATTGTTTTGACATTAAAAAATAATTCCGTTAATCAATAAAGTTAATCAATTGTTATTGCTTGGACTATGGTCCACATAGTTGTGTGGACCACAGTAAAAATAATGTCGTCTCCTGAGACGACACTATTAATTTTTTCCCACGCAACATGTATTTTCCTCTCCATTGCTTATTCTTTAACTCAACTGTTGCAACGAACATTTTTATAAATCATAAAGTACATTATTCTAAAGCATAAAGTACATTATTCTAACTCATAAAATACATTATCTTATCTCAGAAGGTTCATTATTCTAACACGTAAAGTACATTATTCTAACCAATAAACTACATTATTCTAATTAACTCATAATGTCCATGTGAACAAAGAAAATTGAATAAAATATATTAATATTCAAAATTCTAGGTTACATTGAGTATCAAATGCGGTGTGGGTACAAGTCTCTGAATGATCCTCTGATTCTTAAATTTGATGCCTTGAACACTCCACCATTGAAGGGCCTACGGGTTTCAAGTGGCTTGATCTTCAAAGAAGGGCTTGTATATATAGCTTGTTCTTCAAGTGGCTTGATCTTCAAAGAAGGGCTTGTATATATAGCTTGTTCTTCTTGAAGGGCCACCGGGTTCAAATGGCTTGATCTTCAATGGAGGTTTGTATCAATAGGCATATTGGATTGGAGGAGGGGCTTTTACTTTCAGGATCACATTTTTATTGTGATCCCTGAATAAGCTTCAAAGCTTAGGATGTTTCTATGAATTTTTCCTAGGATGTGTGTGATTACATAGAAATGAAATGCCCTATTTATAGCTGTAGGATAGAGAGTTTTGATAAGTTCAAACTTTTTGATATTATCTAATTAACAAATTAGATAATAT